AAGGGCATAGAGAAGACCCCCAGGTGGAGGAATGAAGAAGGTTTTGTGGAAGAGATAATTTTATGATCAGGCTTCCCAATATATCTTCCACACAGCTGCCAAAGTAATTTTGTTAAACCAAAGCACAGGTCTGCCCATGTCAGTCCCCTCCTAAATAAAATCTAGTGGCCCTATCTAAGATCCAGTACAATCTGTTCTATACTTATAACCTAGCTCTACCCTGGTTGTCCAACCCTATTACATATTATTGCCTTTCCCACAAATTATAATTCTGTTAAACAAGCCTTTTTACTGTTCCTTGTGTACGATACTTTATTTCCCATTTCTGTGAATTTGTACTGACCAACAGTCCACCCTCAATCCCAATGTATCCTCTTCACCTCATCAGTTGAATCCTTCTTTTAAGTCTCAGTTCAAGAATTGCCTTGATCCCCCATCTCTTAGCATCTTCCTACCCCCCAAAACAACCCCACCTACTATCTCATTTTCTATGGCAATATCAATATTGATATTAATATCTATGTTAATATCAATGTATTTCCATAACCATACCCATCTCTCTGTGTCTCTGTGTGTGCATCTCTCTCTGTCTCTCTCTGTCTCTGTCTCTCTGTCCCTGTCTCTGTCTCGGTCTCTGTCTCTGTCACTGTCTCTCTCTCTCTCTCTCTTTTTCTCTCCCTCACTCCACAAAGGCAGAAACTATTTAAGTATTTCACTTTTATCTTTAGAAATTTAATAAATCTTGTCAAATAATTGGTTGATGAGGAGGATAGGCCAAACATAAGAGGATGATTATTGACATGGGTTGGGGGAGACTGAAAAAATGCAGGAAAGTATATGGAGCATTTGGGGAACACATAGTAATCTGACGATGAGAGGAATTATAAATTAAACTAGACTTTATTTGGCAGAAAACTGCAGAGGACTCCAAATTTCAGTATAAAGTTTGCATCTTCAAGAACTATTAAAGACTATATATATATATATATATATATATATATATTTAAACTCTGAGCTAGGATGAATGAAACCTGGCTTCAAGTCCCAGTCTTATTAATGACACTGCCATTCTCTTAGTATCCTATACTTGGAACCTTGTAGCAATCACCCTTTCAAGTAAGTGCCCATGTACATATAAGCTTCTAAACTTCTATATAAACCATACAAGCCTTCATAAAAGCCTTAATTTTGTCACTTGTGATATGGTAAAAATAATACTTGCACTGCCTACCTCACAGGATTGCTGTGAAGAAGCCTCTGTTCAATGGAAAATCTGCATAAAATTGAAAAAGCTATGAAGTTGTGTGAAGAGGGTGCAAATGGCAGTACCAAGGTAAAGAAACTTCACTGATTCCCTAATGCCTCTGGGATAAAATACAAAATCTTCAGCTTGGCCACTTCCTCCCCCATCACCTTATTCTTCTACTATTTTAATTGGCTGCTTGTTGAACTCACTAGCTCAATTCTCTCTCCAACCTAATCCATCTAGCATTCAGCTATAAAAGAGATTTTCCTTAAGCACAGGTCTGATAACATCACCTTTCCTCACCCAATGCCCTACCTCAAGAAACTCTGGCAGCTCCCTGTTATCTCCAGGATCAAATATAAAATTCTCTTTTTGGCATTTGAAGTACTTCATAACCTGCTCTGCACCCACGCCTTTCCAGTCTTCTTACACCTTAAATACCATCTTCTACTCGGCAAACCAGCATCACTGACCTCCATGCTATTCCTGGAACAAGACACTCTTTCTCCCAACCCCAGACACTCTACTGGCTGTCCTTCATACATGGAAAGCTCTCCTGCCTTATTCCCACTTCCCTGCTTTCCTGGCTTCCTTCAAGTCAAAGCTAAAAATCTATCTTTCTATAGGAAGCCCTTCTTGACTCCTTTCAGTTCCACTACCTTCCCCTTGTTGATTATTTTCAATTCATCTTGTATATAGCTTGTTTATACAATTATCTTCATGTTGTCTCCCAATTAAATTTGGAGCTGTTCAAGGGCAGGGGCTGTCTTTTTGCTTTTATTTGTATCCCTCCTTAGCACAGGGCCAGACACGTAGTAAGTACTTAAATGCTTTTTCCTTCCTCTCCCAAGCTGAGTGGCCCTGAGTAGGTTGCTTATCTACTGCAAGTCCTAGTTATTCCATTGGCAAAACGAGGATAGTAATATCTTCAAATCTATTTTATCACAGAGTCCAAACTAGAACCCAGTTCTCTTGTACCCCAGTACAAAAAATGAGAGATAATGTCCCATTCTTTGTTTAAAATGTTTTAACAACATCTCAGTGATAACTTTAAGGAAATATTTCTTCATGAAAAATAATTTATAATCTTTTTTCTTGAAATTTCCCTTTTATACCTAACAATTCTGTCAGTCCTCCTACTCCATCCTCTTCCCTATCAGGTACCAGCTGTGCTTAGCAAGTTTTCAGAAACAAGGAGGCTCATATCAAGACTTGTATTTCTTATTAAAGCTTACATTCCACCTCCTTCATAAAGTGTTCCTGAACCTAGTCCAGCCCACATTGATTTGTTTCTTCTCTGAACTCCTCAGTACTTATTGCATATGCCAGTCATTTTGACACGAACACATACTGGGTTGTTTTGTTATTTAAATGTTTCATATGTGTATGTCTCATTTCCCCAACTATATTTGAAGCTCAATGAGGGCAAGAAATGTGTTATTGTTTCTGCTTTCTTATCAGCAATTGGCATGATCACTCACAGTACTCAGAAATCTTCTATTCAACATTGGCAGCTATTCCTCAGAGCTACAAGTGGGGCAGAGTAAGTGGGGCTTAATTTCAGGCCAGGCCAAGTTTAGAGAGCACCTGGGCCCACAGGCATGGAGGGGCGGCCCCCACAGATCCATACACTGGAGGGTAAAGATGGGAGAATAAGGGTCTCCAGCTTTGTAGATCCCTCAAGGAAACAAGGTTCATCCACCCATACCTGTAACATTTGGGGCAATCTGAGCCAGACATCTCTTTTTGCAAGTCCAGCTTAGATCGAAAAACCTGGGTGCCTACCAAAGTAAGCTGAAGTCAGGGGGCAGGAGGTAGTGATGACAATAGCAAGTTCTCTAACTGATAGATATCTGGGTAAGAAAGAAGCTCCATTCTCAGGCAAGAAGGTAAGGTTGGGAGGGGAAGCAGCCTTCAGTGTTGCTTCTCTTCTGGCTTGCACTTCATCTGGGGTTTCAATAACAACTACAATAAAATTTAAATAAAATAAAACTTCAATAATCTTGTCTGGCCTGGCCTTAGAGCACCCAGGAGGTCTGGACTGAATAGAGACCAAGAGTGGAAGACCATGGGAGCAAGGACCTCCATCTCCAGAGAAAGATAGATTGGGAGGATTCAGCTTTGATACTCGGCACCTCAGCACAGTCACTTGCCTTTCCCCTCTGACTGGGGACCTGGAAGGTGAAACATTAAATTTCTCCCAAAGCCTTCTTTCATGTAAGACTCAGAACTTTGCAGGTTGCACTTCATTTTACATTAATGTTCCGCCTAGTTTCAACTCATAGAGATTCCCTGAGCTGGCTACTCGGTGGTGCCCATCCAATTCCTACTTTTCAGCTTCCTTTTGTATATCTTCCCACCATTAGATTATGAGCTCTTTGAGGGCAGAAGTTACCTTTATTTGTTGTATTTGTATCTGCAGTGCTTAATGATAATAAAAACTGACATTTATATAACACTGACTATATGCCAAGCACTGTGTTAAGTGCTTTATAATTATTATCTCACTTAATCCTCACAATAACCTTGGGGAATAGGTGCCATTACGATCCCCATTTTGTGGCTGATGAAACTGAGGCAAACAGAGGGTATGTGACTAGCCCAGGGTCACACAGCTACCAAGTGTCTGAGGCCAAATTTGTACTTAGACCTTCCTGACTCCAGTCTCAGTGCTCACTGCGCCCCTAGCTGTCCTAAGCCCCTAAATGTCTGGCACATAGTAGGTGCTTAATAAATATTTATTGACTATTCAGGGTCAGCCTTTCATTGGAGGCAGCTACTGTAATCCCCCCTTTCATTAATGAGAGCAGAAGAGCTGGGGACTTGTGTCCACACTTAAACTGAGGTAGGGGAGAGGGAAAGAACAGGTGGTTCAGAAACAGTGTATCCTCTGCTGATCCCCCTTCCCTCTACCATTTAGTCTCACTCCATCCCTACGTATTCATTTCAAGATTAGAGTTAGAATGCTTCTCAACCTAGTTTCCTGGGTTGGACCAAGTAATTAGGTAAGTTCCCACTGCCTTTGAAACTCAGTAGTGAGTTCCCATACTTCATCCCAAACCCTCCCTCCAAAACCCCCTCTATAGTCTTCCTATTGTTTCCGCCTTAATGTTACACAATCAATGAAGATTTGACATGACCGGATCAGAATTTGTTATCTTACTCCAACAGCCTCCAAGCCCATCCCTCCTTCAAAATCTCCTGTTCTTGCCAAGGCTCCTACCATTCATCTAGGGACCTAAGTCTGCAACATTGGAGTTACCCTTGTCCCTTTGCTTTACCCCCTCCTCTATAGCTAATTAGCTGCTAGGTCTATTTCAAGTCTACATGAACCACATATCTCCATTTGTCCAATTCTCAACATTTTATTTCAGGTCCTTGTTATCTCTTCTACAATAGTAACATCCTAATTGGATTCTCAGTTTTTAGTCTCACTCCTTTTCAACCAATCCTCTCCATAGCTGCTAAAATAATATTTCTAAAACTTGTCTGGTTATTCTACTACTTCATTGCTGAGGGAGCTGCAGTGGTTCCCTATTACTTCCAGAATAAAAAGAAAATTCTCAGTTTGAAATGGAAAACACTGATTGCAGCAACACTTCCAGGCTTGACACAGTCTGTTTCAGATAAATTGAACTATTTGCCATTTCCATTTCTCACTTCCATGGCTTTGCAAAAGTTGTTGACTATTCCTCTTCTATATTTCCTCCTTAACTTTAGCTCTTGGAATCACTGACTTCCTTCATTAAGTCAGGTGCTCACTTTGGCAGCAAATATATTAAAATTGGAAAGATAGAGAGAAGATTAGCATGGTCCCTGCACAAAGATGACACACAAATTCATGAAGCTGTTCCATATTAAAAAAAATCAGTCAGTCAGTCAATAAACATTTCTTTAAGCTCCTACTATGTGCTAGGTGTACAAGAAGCAAAAGACAGACCCTGCTCTCCAAGAGCTGATAATCTAATGAGGCAGACAATAAGCAAACAAATATATGTAAACAAACTATATACAGGATTGATAGGAAATAATAAAATAAAGAGAAGGCATTGGAATTAAGAGGGATAAAGAAAGTTTTCCTGTAGGAGACAGGACTTTATTTGGACTTAAAGGAATCCAGGAAACCCAGTAGGCAGAGAAGAAGAGGCTCGGTTCATGTGCTATATCCTACAGTACCTATTTGTATTATCTCTAACTATTAGTACTCCCTCCCTCCTCGGATCATTATGTATATGCTTATCTATGTACATGCTGTTCCCTAGCACTGCAATCTTGACTCCTTGAGGACAAATATTATTTTTCATATTGTCTTTCTATCTCTAGGATCTAGTACCTGCTGTGCATACAGTAGATCCTTAATAAATACTTACTGGACTACATTTGATCAAATTGAGTTGAATTAGATTTAATTGCATCAGATTGTATTGGATTGGGAACTAACAGATTATATACAGGAATGAACACTTTGCCCCCAACCCCACAACAGTCTTTCAATGTCTTCATTTCCTACCACTACCACCCAAAATTGAGGACACATTTCCTGCATTTTGCAAAAAAAAGAAAAAGAAAAAAATGTTTCAGGTCTGCTGTAATTTAACCTTTTAGAGCTTTTCATGAGGCCCAGAGAGTTAATTCTTCTATACCATGCTGTCATATTTGCCATCACCACCATATGCAAAGCAATTTTTTTGGGGGGGGCGCTAGGCAATGGGGTTAAGTGACTTGCCCAGAGTCACACGGCTAGTGAGTGTTATGCGTCTGAAGCCGGATTGGAACTCAGGCCTTCCTGACTATAGGGCCGGTGCTCTATCCACTGCACCACCTAGCTGCCCCCCAAAGCAAAATCATTTTTAACAACATTAAAATATTTGTTACACTTCAAGTACAAATGATTATTTGCTCTTAGGGTTTCTTTGAATAGAACAATTGTCTGAATTGTGTGTGCCCATACATATATATACACAAGTCTGGTCATAAGAAATTTAGCACTGACAATTCAGCTATTTTAAGACATTATTAAATATAGGAAATCATTACTCCTCAGAAATTTATATTCCCCAGATTCATATAAGAATATCCATGTTAAGAGAAAACAAAAATGAAATAATCAATCTCCCCTCTGGTAAGTTCTGTGAAATTTTTCCTCTGAAATACAAGTGTATTCTGATTCTATAGTGCCTATCTGCCTCTGTGTAGTTCCAGGTCTCTCAAGGTCAAGATCAACCTGAGGAAGATAAAACAACAAACCTAATTTCCTCATGTGATATAGTGGTTATGGATGCAATGCCCAAAAAAAAATATTCCAAAGATGCTTTCAGCAATGAAAATATCATTGGAATAAGTGTATATCTTCTCAAAGTGACTACATTGAAAGGGTTAAAATTTATTCAGAGATAGAAATTCTGGCATATTTACTTAAAATCACATATCACTTCTTAGTAATATATATTTCATCTCTATAAGTATAGTCATGGGATTATATCATGAAAAATATTTTTAATAAAATAATAAGTAGAAAGGTAGTACTCCAATGAATACTACAGTTCATCATTCAGAAGACACAGCAGAAGCTATGGCTGATATGGAATAGCTTCTGAATTTGTGTATTCAGGATCAAATGCAGGTCTGCAGGCTTTGGTTTTGGCCACAATCAAGCCAAATCTGAGGAGATTTTTTTTTCTTTTGTTGTTGATGTTGTTGTTGTTGTTGTTGTTGTTGTTGTTGTTGCTTTTTTGATATTGTCAGGCCGCAGTGCAGCGAGGGATCCAAAAATAATAACCTGAGTGCAAATCAGGATTGGTTCATGTATCTTAATGAAAGATGTGTCTTGCATAACACTGAGGTAGATAGGAAAATTCTAATGTTGATGAAATGGCTGCTCAGGAAAGCAGAGAATTTTAGTTTTTTGAAGCTTGAAAACTGCACAATAACTTGATTTCTGTAGCCTATGACTGCAATAGGGAAATTTGCAAAGAGAAAAAGAAGACAGCAAAACAGACATCCGTGGTCTGGCTTCTCAAAAAGCTTACCTGTTGTTTGTTGAACAGTTGTTTTTCAGTCATGTCTATCTCTTTGTGACCCCTTTTGGGGTTTTCTTGGCAAAGATACTGGAGTGGTTGGCCATTTCCTTCTTCAGTTAATTTTGGAAAGGAAGAACTGAGGCAAACAGGGTTAAGGGAGTTGCCCAGGGTCACACAGCTAGTGACAGAGGCCAGATTTGAACTCAAAAAGATGAGTCTTCCTGACTCTAGGCCCAGCACTCTATCCCTTGTGCCACAAAAGTGTACTAGAAGCACTAAATGTATAGCCTAAGTTTCCTTAAAGATATGAAAAATTTCCCCAAAGAAGTCACTTGGAATAATATAAACTCAGTGAAAGTGTTTCATCACCTAATACATTGTCACAGTAAAAACAAGGTAGGGATTATGGTGAGGTAAGAAAGGAACTCTGTATAATATACCATGGAACTGTCAGGTGAAATATAATTTTAAATTATAATTTACTTTGTTATTCCACTTAATCAGTTTATATACACTTTAGAAAACCTTATGATGTATAGACATATCAATCACAGCTGATTTAATATAATTAGGGCTATTTCTATAAAACATTGGACATTCAGGTCCTTGGTCAGATAGTTAACCTTCTTTTTGTTATAACATTGTTTCAATGGGAAAATCAAATGAGCTTACATCATTTCAGTCTAAAATGTCTCTTACAGGAATGAAACCAGACATAAGAATGCAGCCTGCATCTACAAACTTTTTCAGATGTATTAAAGTGGACTAGACATTATATGGCCTTGGCCAAAAATAACAATCACCACCAAAGGATGAAAAAGAAAAGTTTGAAAAATAGAGAGTAGGGTGCCCGGGAAGATTATTTCCCAGCTCCTAATCTCTTTTGTGTTCTAAGAGAAGGAATCGGGCCTCACCAGGAACATTTACCAGTTCCTCAACTGGTTACACAAATCTTCAAGGGCAACATGTCTTAAAAGGAGCCTGTCACTGCCACATACTTCTCATAAGAAGTTCAACCACTTTAAACCCCTTTTTACCCCTAAAAAGTGAAGAGCTCCCCAAGTAGACTTTTTTTGTGTCATACATCTTCCTTGTTAACCTTTCTCTGAAAAGACATGTCAGACATTATTTTCAGACAATTGTTCTGTTCAGAAAAAACGCTAAGAGCAAATAAACATTTGCACTTGAAGTGCGAGAAGAACGTTTTAATGGTGTTAGAAATACTTTTGCTTAGCATACAGCATTGGTGACAAAAATAGCTTGAAAAAAAAAAGCAGCAGCCTCAAAGTCTGGTGGAAAGATATTTAGGTTTATCACTAAATTTCATCTGCCACTTCTCAGACCTTTCTTTTTGCCGGCAGATAATAAATGTCATGTATCCTTCATATTCATGTCAAAAATGAAAAAAGTGTCTCTGCAGCTAGATTTAAGATTTTTCATCCTTTCAAAAATGATAGACATACACTGTAGAAGAGTATAGGACTAAGATGTTAATCCTTCTGACGAATAAAAATCTCTCAACACCTAGGTAATTTCTCATGAATGACAAAGTCTATGAATGTACCCAAATGCATAAGCTATATCTTAGAATCTTTACTAAAGAATCAATGTCTTTTTGGGATAAACTTTTGAGTCGCTTGATTTAGGTAAGGAGATGCATTCAGTGCAATTCATCAATCACTTATGGAATGAAATATTAACACTGGACTAGGCACTATAAGGAATACAGATGGAGTGTGAGATTTGACCTCATATCATCAGGGAGAATAAATGTAGTCAAAATAGCTAGATAAGGCCAGAGGGGTATTAAATACCCAAATATGTGGCACACGTAGTAAATGCTATTGGAATTCAGAGTGGATAACACCACTTAGGCAGTGATTTTACCTCCCAGACATGTAATATTCAGTGTATGTATTTCAGTTTTTTTTAGAGTAGAGGCATACTAATATCTTTTCAAGTCAAACATTCAAGTAAGAGGAGATCATTTGTTCATGGCATTCAATGTATGGAGATAGTCACTTGTCATCTATGTCCTAGCATGGGAATTCATTTTCTGACATTAAAGATGAAGAAATAGGGAAAAAAAAATTCTGGTTTTCCTTAACAACTCCTGGCCTGATTCAAGATGACAGCCAGCATCCTATAGCGCTCTAATTGTATACAAATAAACAAAATAGTAAAGTAAATGTAAGACCTTAGAAATAAAAAGCAAGGGTTCAGTTACATTCAGTAAAAGAAAGTCTTGGGACAAAGTAGAAATTAATATCCCCACTATATACTAAATATTTGCCAACATGAACCATTTGTGCATATTTTCAGTTCTGAACTAGATTGAAAAATCCTTGAGTTAATGTTAGCCCTATGAAAAATCTCCAAGTTGTTTTTGTTTTTAATCTTTCTTGTGCTCCATTTTGGTTTCAAACCCCCACTGTCATACTACTAATAACTGGCATTTATAAAGCTCTTCAAGTCTTGTGAAATACTTTATATACCTTATTTTATTCTGGTAACACAGTAAGGTAAAGGCTATCATTATTTCTATTTTATATATGTGGAAACTGAGGGTTAGAGTTTTAATGAGTTGCCTGGTTTCGAACTCCAGTATTAAAGGCAAAATTTGAATGAAGCACTTCCTAATTTCATATCCAACAATGTATCCCCTATGACATGTTTTCTTACCTTTATTGCAGCTGACCTTATAACTATCATTGCTATTCCAGAGCTTCATTGTAGCACTTCTTACTGCATTTTGAGCAATACTGTTATTTCTTCCTCCTTCTCCTCCTCTTCTCCCTCTGTCCCTGTGAGGAGTCATACCCTTACATGTGAGTGATCTCT